CATTTGCGATCGCTTCAGAATGTTTATGCTTTTGAAGCGAACGATTCTAAACCTTCTCGTTTAACAAATTGTTAAAGAATTCATCATCTTTTGTCTTACTGTGATAAAACAAATTCACTACACAAAAGGTTATAATAATAACAATGGTGATAATAATAAGAATAATGTATAACAGCGTAAAAGTATCCTTTCCTTCCTTTATAAATTTTGGAATTCTTTTCACTGAGAGATAAAGAATCTTGTTACAAAACCAGTTTTTACTGAACCACTGCTGGAACAATACTAAAATCTATTTTATCAACACTCCTCGTTACCGTTGTTATAAAGAATGACAAAGAAAAAATCAAAACAGTCAAACGTTCCACCAGATCCGTGTATTCACCCTGAACTTCTTGCTTTTTTTTCCTCGTCTCTACTATCTCTCTACAAGGTAAAAGAAGACAGAAGGAAGACGGATTATTTTTCAGGCAGGAAGAAAAGAGAAAAGGGAAAAAAATGGGTACCTGTCACCAGGAAATGGAAAGACTGGCAGCCAATATTTCAGTAGAATAATATTACAAAAAATACATTTGGTCACATTGATTCGGTGTTGTTCATTACATTTTTAGATTTAATCTTATTTTTACACAAACACATAAATAAATAATTAAATAAATAAATAAATAAGTAAATAAATAAATAAATAAATAAATAGATACATAAATATAATAAGTACACCATTTAAAAAAAATAACAGAAAAAATGTGAAAAAGAAACGAAAAAAAATTTTTAAAAATTTATTTTGCCTTTTGCCTTTTTTTTCAGATTTGAATTACTAATATTTCTAAAGATTAAGCAGCTAGGAAATGTTAAACTTCATTCTTTTCTTTATTTTGAAAGAAGCAACTAAAAAAAAAAGAATTTTTGTGTTTCCATAAAGTGCTAAATCTTTGTTGCAACTAAAATCAGATGACGGTCACCGGTGCTACAAGTGCTGTGTCACAAGTTCTCCAGCAGGTATTGATAGCAACAGTGTAGGTACCATTTCAGAACTACAAAAAATATATATAAAAAAGTAGAGAAAAAATAAGAAAAAAAGTATAGACTTTTCAAAAAAAAAAAATTTAAGTCTTTTGATGTTTTAACAGAAGACTCATCCATAAAAACAAAAGACCATTACAGACGATAAGAATCAGCAAAAAGAATCCAACAAATAATCTTTACTCAAAAAAAAAAAAAAAATTTAGCAGTAAATTATGTAAAAAGAAAAGTACTGTAAAAAAAAGAGTGAAAAGAAAAAAAAAACGAAAGATAAATAATAATCTAAAGATGCAAATGTTGTAAGTCATTCAGGTGGTAAAGTTCAGAATAGAAAAGCTAGAAAAAAAAAAA